GGCCGTGGCGCCCAGGCGCGCGGGCTCGCACGTGCAGCGGGCGGCGATGGAGCGGCCGGGCCGGACCCGGGCCCGATGGAGCAGCTCAGGCTCCTTCCCTTCCCTTCCTTCGGCTGCAGCTCCCCAGGCACCGCCTCACCGCCTGCCCCCTGTGCTCCCCGGAGCCAGCGCCACAAGACCGAGCTATCCCGAAGCCGAAACTGATGCCAAAGCAGCGGACTTACCCGCGAGCACTGAGAGAGCGGAACGACGCCGTGTCCCGGCACAGATCCAACAGGGGATCGTGCTTGCCCACAGCACTCAGAGGTTTGTCCAGCGTGGGCTTTACTTATCAAGCACGAACCCTGCCTGACCCTCCCTGTTTCTAGCATCTGTCCTCCACTGCTCCTTCTACAATTCAAACTCCTTCTCTTCCCGATGCTGGTGACAGTTACAAAAAACTCAATTTTATTTTTTTTTTAGTCATTAAGTGCAGTCTGCAGTCCACTCCTCAAACCTTATCTACCCCACACAACCCATTATTCAGCTGCCTTTTAGTCCCCGAAAGTTCTCATCACTGTCCCAGTAACTTTTTTTCTCGAGTTCATTTCTGGAACACAGTGCTGGAAGCAGCAGTGTGACTGTACTGAGTACAGCCTTGAGCTTGGTACACTACAGGAGTAGTAACTACAGTGCACTGATCATCACACAGCTCATGCACACGCTGCAGCCATTCCTCCTCTTTGCTGCACTCCAGTTTTCCCCCAGCTGTCTCATCTTTTTGGCTCCCAGGCTGCTTTTGATCCTCTGTAATCCAAATTAGATTTTTGTGTGTGCATGTGTGCGGAATCGCAGTCTAGCCAGTGAAAGCCATCATGCATGGCAACCCCAGTGTGGCAGCCCATGTCAAAGCCCTGCATCTCTGTGCGAGCCTGGGCCACGTGCACAGCAATGTGCAGGTGCCCGAGGTGACCTAGCTGCAGAGCCACGAGTGAAATGCCTGTGGAAAAGGGGGTTCACAGGGAGCTGCTGGTCTCTGCTTTCATTTTATGGAGCAGCAACTCCATAAATGTGCACTAACACATTTGATTTTTGCAAGTACCTTACATTTTGCAAGCACCTTATATTTGAAAGCAGCCTTCTGAGCAGCTAAGGGAAGAAAAAAAAAAACACCAAAATGCTCAAATCCATCTTGAAAACAAGAGGAAGCAGCAAAGAATCATTTTAAGCCAAAGTCTGGTATGAACTGTGATGTGTCTGGCAAACACTTCACTCACTAACTTGTGTGTGAAAACTCATATCCTCATTTCAATATATTCAGGGGTAGCCTGACAGTATACCCTGTGCATAACAAAAACAGCAGGCTAGGGCTGAGTCAGTAATTCACATTACAGAATAAAGTTTTAATCAATCAAATGGAGAAATCAATAGCGTAGTGAACAATCCTGATGGCTAATGCTGTATAGGATTTAACAGTTCTGTTCTCAGTTTTTCCATACACTTTTTTGGTTTGTTTCTGTTTTGTTTTTTTTTTTAAATTTGAAAACTCATTTTCTAGCAGGAGCTGAAAGATTTCAGAGCATGGAAGGGGCTGTTGGAGACTTCAGCTGATACTTGAGAAAGGCTCAAAAATGTTATTAGGCCAGGGAAACAGCAAACACTTAAAAGTGAGATTCTTCCAGATCACCTGGCAGCAAAATGACAAGAACTGAAGTCACTCTTAACACCTCATCCGGAGAACAATTAGGTCATCCAGCTGTGTCCCAGCTACCATGCCAGGCTGCCTGCAGGCTGGAGAAGCCAACTGATCCATATTTCACACTCTACACTCCAGCAGATTTCTCAAACAGATAGTACACTTCTTTTACAGTGGCCATCCCAGCTCCAGAGCGAACTCCTTGGGTAAGGAAGCAGGCAGGTCACCGTCTGTTCATGGTCACCCAAGGCACTATGTCCTGGAGAGAAGGAAAAGCTACTGTATGATCTAGACCAAGGATGTCACCCTGTCCTCCAGCTTTGAGTTGCAGTCCCCTTGGTGTGACACACCTATCCAAACAGAATTTCCCTCTCCTTCCCCCCTTCATCCCTCTCAAACCCACCAAGCACAGAATGCTCTAGAGCATCAACTCCCAAACCAGAACAAGAAATAATTTAGGCTCCACACATCATACCTCTTGGATACTTTGGCTGAGATCCAGTTCAGCACAGCACTTTTGGCCTTGCCTGAGTTGTGTTTTTGCAGCTCTGAAACACCCAAGAACCCCAGGTGAGACAGGTGGATAGGTAAGGTCACCCATTAAATCCCATGACCTTTCTGGAGGGGCCTTTAAGGCAGCGTTTGAGAACTATTTTGGAGGTGAGAAAACCATACACACACACACACCTTAATAATGTGACTGTGTTTATTCTGTGTTAGTGCCCAAGAACTCAGCCCAGGGTGGGGACTCTGAATCCAAGCATACAAGGCAGCAGTGACAACAGTGTCCACCTCCCCAGCAATCACCTTCCTCAGAAAGGAAAGGGAAGTGCAGGAGGGCCCCATTCCTCACCACAAGCACGTGTGTTCCCCCCAGAACCCTCCCTCTAGCAGAAATTGCGCTTCTGCTGTCAGTGTTGAGATCACACCCTCCCCCTGAACACACTCTGGAGAACAGCTCTGTGTGCACACTCCACAAGTAACGATGGAGAGATACATCAAGCTGCTGCCATTCACTTTAGCGGCTGGTGGCCATCAGCATTGTTCTGATGTTCCTCCATGCAGCCTCAGGCACTGCTTTACTCTTCCCTCCCATTTCTGGCATGAGGAATCTATTTACTTGCCCATTGCTGGGTTGCAAATTTTTCTGGTGTGGGTTTTGGACACATAGGCTTTTTCTTTCTTTGTCATTTCCTTTCCAGTGCACACATGGCATGGGAGGAGGCCTGGCTCACAGAAGAATACTCCAGGATAGTCCAGCACAGAGGCCAGCATGCTGCCTGGGCTCACTCTCCTCCTCAGAGGATTCACTCACAGTTTTGCCACCAGTATTCCTAAATTCCAACCATACAATTTTTTTTTTTCTCCTCCTGCTGAGGGCAACCACAGTAAAAAACATACACTGAGGTCCTAAGAAGAAAGGCAATTAGCTGCTAATAACTGCAGCAACCCTGAGGTAAAGGGCAAGGGCAGCCTCTGCCACTCCCACCCCGGAGAGGGCCACACACAAACAGCAAGGGCATTAGGGCATTTCATACTCCCCTGAGCTATCGCAGTTACGATCGGCATATTCAGCAGACAATGGAATGAGCCATTCCTGCTCTAGCTGGCTCTGCCTTGCCACAGAAATAGCTCCTAGCTATTACATTCTCCAAGCACCAGTGAATTTCAATATCCTTTAAACACCAGAAATTACCTCCCACTCTTTCCAGTTGGTACTGGCGTTAGCACAGCCCCTGCTATGCTTCAAATAAGTCACATATTTATTTATTTTTTTTTTCTTAGCAAAATGACTTCAAATTTATTCGCAATGTTACCCAGTTTCACCTGGCACAAGTATCAAACAAAAAGTACCCCTGCATTCAGGTGTGGCACTGTGTTGTGTGGTGAGGAAACACAGGAGACAAGATGACACCATGTCTCCATGGAAAAAGGATTTACTGCACAGCCGAAATGCCAGGGCACTGATGCAGGAGTGCAAGCAAAGCTCTCCCAAGTATCTCAAATTGCCCTGACAACGATGTGCCTGTTGCACTCTGCCCCAAATCCTCTTCTTTGATAAAGACAAGTATTAAGTCTGAAAGAGGGGGGAGCAAGGACAGAAGGCTTATGCCAGATAGAGAGCATGACCTTCAGCAGAAGTTTTTAAGGGATTCTGTGGCACCCAGACACTTAACTGGAGATCACAGCAAAAATAAATGGGTAGAGTGTCTAGTCACCTTGACCAGTGCTCAGAAGGCTATAGAAAGGCTGAACTGGGTTCGTGGCTAGTCAGAATGCCATGTAAACAAGATGCCTATCCCACAATGACAGGGTCCTGAAGAGCAGCAGCCCAGATGTGGAGCACTGTCCCAGCTGGTGGTCTGAACATTAGTTTCTCTGTTAATCTTGGTCACGGCCCATTTTTCCAGTCAGCCTCCGACGCTGAGTTTTGGTGGTTCGCCCTGTGCTGGACTTCTGGATTTTCTTACGTGGGCCTTGCCCACGTTGGGATCTCTTTCCTTTTGTCTTTTTCCGGCTGTGCATGTGCAGCGTGGCAGTAAGAGAAGAGATTCTGTGCAGGGCAGAAAGAGGAAAATGTTTGAGGAATAAAGGCTGCCGAAGCAAGGCGACACCACAACAATAGCTGGAGAGCTCTGAGCGACCCAGCAGGAATGGATGCCAGACATGGCAAGTCCCTCTAAGCTATATGGGAAACCTGCAAGCCTCCATGTGCAGTAACAACAAAAATGAATGTTGTGAGCAGTGCGCTGCCCAGACCCCACAGAGTTAAAGTAACTCTCCATGCCCTCAAAGCAGCTGTAAAACCTGGATACTGAAAAATGCTAAGAACGCCTGAGCTTTCAGCTTTAGGAGCCTCTGACCTTCAGCCCTAGAGAGAAGCTAAGCACGCTGCGGAATGTGCCGCGTTGATGACGGACTAGGGAAGAGGTGAGGACCAAGCCCACCCGGCCCCCGCTCGCTCACCGGAGCCGAGCGGGGCGCGCTCCTCCAGCGCCCCCTGCCGCCCCTGGCCGGGCTGCACCGCGCCCCTCCTGCGGCGCATCCCCCAACACACACCATCCCTCCTTCAGCTGCCAGAGCCCAGCAGCAAAGGCCTGAAGGAATCTGCACGTACTTCTCAGAAAGGAAGGGGTTTCTGGACTTCTTGGGCATTGTTCTCACGGGCTTGTTCACCACCTCTTCTCCTTTCTCTTCTTCACATCCATCGGTTTTTCCCTTAAAAATAAAGCACTTTTGTGATTCTGGTGTTTCCACTGCCTCCTTGGTTTCATCCTGTTTTGTGAACTAACTGCTCACAGGTGAAGATTTTTTAATTCTCCACACCCTTCGCTGTCCAAGTGTCAAGGTTTCCTACTGCAGTCCCACAGAAAGGCACAACCAGAGATGTCTTACAGTAACCCACCCCATTGATTCAATGAATGGATTGAAGTTTAAAATCGAATGAACCAAAGGTCTTGGCTTTTGCTTAAATTACTATCAAGACCTCTTTGAGTGGATTTTCAGATTAGATGACCTTACAAATGTAAGCACAACCAATACCTGAGAGTCTCTATGAAACAAAAACAAGGTCTTAGTTACATGTATTTTGAAAATAAAAGTGACCACAGCCAGAACTGAATGGTTTCCTTATTTGTGGTCCAAACACAGGATTATGGAGAGAGAAATGCCTCCTCATGCTAACAGTAATATTTCTGAACAGGACACAGGAAGGAGGTCAAGGACAGACCATGCAGCGAAGTCTGAAATCTTGCTGCTTGTCTTGTATCAGCTTTTAAAGTACTACATTTTTGCCACCCAGTCCAGTAACACTTTTCCTTTAACCGGGCTCAATCGGGACTAGCAAAGGATTCTAGGGAGGTTTGAAGTGAGCTATTCACACAGGACATTTCCTTCTCTTTAGAGGCCCAATTTAAACTGTAGAAAAATATAAAAGTTATGAGTTTCCCTCTTCATCCTTGTTCCCAGTCAGCTGCAAGGGCTTGGACATACTCAGGGACCACTAGCCCTACCTCAGCAGCCCCAGGAGTGTGAACAGCTGATAGAGAGAGGCAGCAAGAGGCTTTACCACGGGGCTGGTCAGTCCCAGCTGGCGTGCCCCCGAGAGGTCCAGGTCACTGATGGTGGTCACTGTTACGATGTGGTTTGGGTGGTCGATGCTCACAGACTCTGTCCGCGATGTCACCAAGTGCTCCAGTTCATCAGCCTCCTCTGGGAACACAAGACATCCTGCACTGCAAAGTGCCCAGCTTTTCACGGGATAAACTCACTTGTTCCTGATGCTGGGCAGGGGTGACATCTGGGATAAAGGGCAGAGGGGCTTGGCACTGCCAGCCTGGAGGGCAAGTTCCTTCTCCCCCATGAGGGGATCTGGTGACACCTTAGAGATGCTCTCCTGCTCCTTCCTTTCTGTAGAGCCCTCATGAATCCCGGGACAGAGGGCTGTGGGGTCAGACTGCTGGGGAACACCACAGCACCGAGCAGCTGCTGCTGTGGGACAGCCTGGGAGCGCCCCTGCCCCAGCTCTCAGCACCCAGTCAAG